TTTAGTATTGTTATTCCGGTAAAATTATTTATAGAACTAATTATTCGTGTGGATTACGTCCGTGAAAAATATAGTTAAAAATATAAAAGGATATTCTAAGAATTTGTTAATGCGTAAAGAAAAACTCGTGTTAAAAATGGAGGGAGAAGAAGCGTCGGTTTAAGCCGGAAATTTTAAGAAGTAAATTTATTAATTTGTGAAAATAAAGTATAGAGTTTTATTGCGAGCTAATGGCTGATAAGTTTTAGTAAAAATTAACGTTGTAAATTTTTGGAGTTAATTTTATAAATCCGGAAATAAAATAATAAAGTAGAGTCAGTGTGTGTGGAGATAGTGTGGGTTATGTGTGTGTGTGTGCTACCAGCGTCCCTTCGCATACGATTAGTCTCTTTGCGAGGTGTTTCGCTGGCGTAGACGCCGTTGTATAGACGCCAAGTGGGGTCCAGCGGTAGTAAGGTAGAAACCGCAGTATAGACGCTCCATAAGAGGGTACTGTGGGATTAAGCATCCTTTTGTAAGCTCACGCGAGGAAATCGGTCTACGTTTAGTCACTGGGTCGACTACTTTCGTGAGCCGAGTTAACGAGCCTTCGCATACGATTAGTCTCTTTGCTGGGTGACAAGTCGGGGTCGCCGGTTTTAGCCCGAAATCCCCCGGTAGTTATAAGCGGTGGTGTGGAGTAGTTGTAAGTGAGTAGTTGTAAGCGAGTTGGGAGTACGTACAAGTGTACGAGTTGTTGATTTTATTGTTAATAAATTTTTGGCCAATTGTTAAATAAAGATTTAATTATTTCAGACCACCTTTCTCTCTCTCTCTCTCTCCCTGTAGAATAAGAAGCTCAGCTCTGGCATCCGGTTCCAGGAACCGAGAAAATAATCCTGGTGGCGCCCTATTTAGCATTAGAGTCATTTTGGGTGTTAAATTGTTAATTATTAATTTTATTCAGGGCCAATAAGTACGGGAAATAAACCACCCGTTACAATCTGAACGTCCAGTTTTGTGAAATAAAATAAAGTCTGTGATTCTCCATAAGAATCAATGGTAAAAGCAAAAATATGTAGATATTTATATCTTTTTTTTAGGACTTGCTCAGGTTCCAAAAATTTTACTGCTTAATTATGATATTATAAAGTACCAATATGCCAAATTTCATTAAATTCTGAACGTCGATTCTAAAACCGGTAGTACTACCTTAAAGTTATTGTAGGTCTCACAACTGAAGTTGAAATCTGTCTATCTCAAAGTGCAGCGAATCTTGCTGTTAATTAAAATTTCCTCCGTAAAAAGAACAATTTATCGGTTAGTGATCAGCAAAAATAAATGTATGTTAATCTCTTACTTCGTTGACTGAATATCTATATGGAAAGCAAAATTTTGGAAACGTAAAAATGACTTTTTAGCCGCTGCCAAAGAGACGATTGTTGTAAGAAAATATAATTATTAAGAAAGAAAAATATTTAAATCGGTTGACCTGGAGGCCATCCCTGTGATTTCCTGTTTCTCTTGAGATTCTATCAAATTTTATATCTGTAGGAACAATATAAATTTTTTGACAATCATCACTCCCGCACTCCTATATAGGGGAGGAATTTCGTAAGATCCTATTCGAGATGATTTCTACATTATAAACAAAAGGTTCCAACAAAAGTTCGAGGCCATAGAAACTATTGTTTGGAAATGAGAGATTTTCATTGTTAACGCACCCGCAATCCCTTATGGGGTTAGAATTCGAGGAAATCTATTCTTAGCTGAACTTGACATCATACACGAAGATTCCTACCAAATTTGGAGTCTGTAAAAGTTATTATTTGTGAATTAAAATTTTAGATTTTAAAACCCAGCCCCGCAATCCCTATCAGGAATAGAATTTATTAAAATCCATTTTGAGATGATCTCTTCATAAGAAATAAAAAATTCTTACCAAATTTATATTTTTTAGAAGTTATATTTTGGAAATTAAGAGTTCTTATTGTCAACGCTCACTCCCGCGATCCTCATTGAAGGTGATTCGTTGTAAAATCTGCTCTTAGATCAATTCTATATCACATATAGAAGACTCCTACTCAATTTGGAGCATGTAGGAGCTATATTTTGAAAATCAAAATTTTTTTTTGTTAATACCTACCCCCGCAGTTCATATTTGGATTAGGATGCCACTAATTCCGCTCTTAGATCATTTCTACCTCAGATGTAGCAGATTCTTACCAAATTTGAAGTTTATGGGAACTATAGCTTGGAAATTAAAAATTTTAATTGTTAACACCCACCCCCGTAATTCCCTGTCGGGTGAGCTATCGTAAAAATCGTTCATAAATGATTTATACATCACTTACAGAAAATTCCTACCAAATTTGGAGTCTGTAAGAGCTACAGTTTGAAACTTAAAATTTTTCATTGTTAATACTCACCCCCGCAATCCTCTGTGAGGTGAAATATCGTAAAATTCATTTATATACTATTTCTACATCTCCGACAGAAAATTCCTACCAAATTTGGAGTCGATAGGAGCTATATTTTAAAACTGGAAATTTTTCATTGTTAACGCCCCCGCAAACCCCTTTGGGGGAGGAATTTCTTAAAAACTGTTCTTAGCTGACCTCTACATGGCAAAAATAATATTCCTACCAAATTTCAAGTTTCTAGGTCTGATGGTTCCCGAGATATCGTGATGAGTGACTATATAAATAGGAATCTCATAATAATATAGATTAGGACTCTTATTTCATAACCACCACTGGGTTGACCGACATCATATATGTCCTACCATCCGCAGAATAACGTGTTCTGACTGTATACCAATTTTTATTAAGATTGGTCAAGCCGTTCTTGAGTTATAAGAAGACATACAGACAGACAGACCGACAGACGGACAGACAAAAAAAAAGTCGGATGTGAATCAGCGCATCATAAAACGATTATTTATCACAAAATTAGATGAAAAAATTGAATGTACAGACAGAGTCAATAGATTTATATAGTAGTATAGATATGATATGTATGAAAAGAATCGTTTGCGTACCTAACTGAAAGATTTCAATGAGAATAACATCAGGATGAATTTATATTTCGAAAAATGTCAATAATTAAGAAATTACGTTGTATTTTGTCCACTAATGATATTTTTAACGATAAAAGCTCATTCTGGTATTACACTTATCGAGATCTTTCATTTGAATACTCACATAAATTTTTTATATATTTTATATATTTCATTAATATGAGTAATATCATATATATAAAATCCTTTTTCAAAAAGTTAAAAAGTTTATATCGTTAAAACTATCATCAGTATAGACAAAATACAACGTCAATTTCTAATTATTGAAATTTTTTAAGATATAAGCTTATCCTGATTTTATGTTTATCGAGACCTATCATTTGAGTACGCTTCTGTCAAAATGTTTTTCATCGAAAATTTAATTAATAACTATTTTTACAAATTTTATTTATTATTATCTAACCGTGTTCATGTTAATTGTTGCCAAAGTGGTTGCCATAGCAATGAAAACGTTACATCAACTTTTTAATAAAGGATTGCCTGCCACATGAAAATCATGTTTCTGTCAACTAACAACTCTTTCCTAATATTATACTTAACGGGGAGCATTTAACAGAATATCAGACTAGCAAGCGAGGTGTCGTGAGTTCAAATCCAACAGGCGTTTCTTGATTTTTTCAGTAGAAATCGTTTCTCAAAGTCGTAATGAGCTTCCGAGATAATAATGAACAATGTAAGAATAAAAAAAAAAAAATTTTTTTTTTGAATTTTTTTTTTATTAAAGTTCAATGATATGAAATTTTATAAAACTGTATAAAAGGCTATCATTTTTTATACGAATTTATGAGGCCATTTTCAGTATGAAATTTTCTTGAATTTTTTTATCACAAACCGACTGTATACCACTGTTTCACTTCTAAATTATCTGAAATTGCTCGAATGAGAAAATTATTATGTAAATTTGTAATTAATAAAGTAAGTTACATAAATTTTAGTGATAAATGAATTTTTTCTATGTCACGTGAATATTTCGATCATGTCGATAAAAAAAAAATTCCCATGTTACCATTGGAAAAATTCCTATGATAACATTGGAAAAATTCCTATGTTAACATTGGAAAAATTCCTATGTTAACATTGGGAAAATTCCTATGTTAACATTGGAAAAATTCCTATCTCACATAGGAATTTTTCCTATGCAAAAATAGGAAAAATCCCTATGTTTTTTTTTCCGTGTATCTAAGTAAAACTACGGCAAATGCGCTAGTGCAAGCGGAACTAAACCGTATTCCATTGTCTGCCAAAATCTGGGAAGACACCTGGAGGTGGATAATAAGAATCCTCAAGATCGAAGCCAACAGGCTACCGCGAATCTGTTTCATCAAATCAGTAGAATCGTACCTAAACGGTGTAACTGATAACAAATACAATTGGACTGCTCAAATCGCGGAATTCATAAATCAGACAAATCCATACTATGCGAGGCTATTGCATAATTTAAACAGCGAGGCCTGGGAGAAAGTAGGTAAACAACTCATCACGATATACGAGAAGCAGCTGACTAGCACGATAAGTACAATATCAGACAACTGCCAGTACCTACAAACTCCAATCAGAAACCGTGAGTCAAATAATTACTATCTAAACTGCAATACCCCATGGTGTATGAAGAGACTTGTCACACAAATAAGATGTGCCAGTAGTTTCGGTGCTGTCATAAGTGCCAACGGTAAATCTGACAGATTCGATCCATCAAATAGCTGTCCTTGCTGCAAATCAGACCACTACGATACTACTACGATACATTAGAGCACTTTTCCTGCACCTGCCCAAGTTACAATAAAATAAGAACGAGTTTAACACCTCTTAAGACAAGCCAAGGTTTGTTTATCACGGACATCGCCACCCCAAGAAGACCAAGTCGGATCAGAGCAATTTACAATTACACCTGTGCAGCTCTTAAGATACACTGTTAAAAATTTCTATTGTAATTTTACAAGAAATGTATTGGAAGCTAATAGGCAAAACATTTATTTAAAATTACAATCGGGTATAGTAAAATTACAAAACATATATAGCTCAGTGAGGTTACTAATTTTACAAAACGGTTTTGTAATTTTACAAATATTTTTAGATTAGCTAAGTTTGTAAAATTACAATACTTTCTTTGAATTTTACTTGAATTGAAATAATAAAAAAGAAAGCTTTGATTTAATATCTGTTGTCATTTTATTGTTATGAAGAGCTGACTACCCCCACGGAAAAAGTATATATTATGGAATATATTCTGAAATATATTCCAGAATATATCCGAGAATATATTCCGAATATACCCCGTTTTGCCCAAGGAATATATTCCGGCATATATGGGCATGCACTCACTTGTATTCCGTTTTACTCAAAATTTTTCTCTGGTCTATAGTCTGGTCTGTCGTCAGATCTATAGTCTGATCGATCGTAAATATACTGAATATATTCAGGTATATATAATTTTGAAATATATATTCATTTTCAATGTTATCATATAATTCACAAAGAAAATTTAAACTTGAAAATTATAAATATTCACTAATTGCTCACGAGTTTCCACAACTTATGTAAACAAGACGTCTATTAAATAGAAATGTCAAAACAATCAATTAATCTAATGAAATTTTTTTTTTTTTTAAAATAATAAAATTACCAGGCGTTGGTTTAAACCAATGTAGCCAAAATCTAATGAAATGATGACATTTACACTCAGCGCCATCTGATTATCGATTTTGAAATTACAATTTTAAAATAACTGATTACCAATATCTATAGAGCTAACTGTCATTGATAAATTGTTTTAAGTACTTCGTCCATCTTTATCATACAGCGAAAAATATTGGTTAACAATCCTCAGAAGTCTAATTAGTATTTTATAAAATATTTGGGGAACATTTTTTCTAAAAACAATATTTTTGCCAAATCATTCAGAAAAACGGCTAAATTGATAATGAATTTAACTTTGACCTTGAATAACTTTTGAATGAGTTGAGTAATCGAAAAATGATATCAGAGCTTTTTTGTAGAGCGTTCAATTCTCTACAAAAATATTTAATCAAAATTCCAAAGCAATCTATGGTTCATTAGTTACAAAAATCAGAACAAAAAAAAAACTTTTTTCCTGTGTTATTCTTATGGGAAATCGAAAAGTGCGCGGCGGACAATCTTAATATCAATATTAAGGGCTCATATTTTCAGAGACCTATTTTGGCATCCAAACGAAACTTTTGAGCCTGGTTCCAAGAAAAAAAAAATTTTTTTTTTTTTGAAACGCCCTATTGTATACAATTATATGAAATCATATATGATTATACAAAATTACTAGCGGTTCCCGCCCGCTCCGCTGGGCGAATTGAAAAAGAAATAAATTAAATTATATGTTTCATTTTTATTCATTTTTCTTATATTTCCTATATCTCAAATTTCTTTTCTATATCTTATGTGTTTAGTAAATGCAATGCTTTTAATCTGTTACATTTTCGCGATCCCGTAATAAGAACAATTCATCGGTTATGTGATGAAATGTACGTAAAATTCTTAGTCCGTTGACTGAATAGCTATATGTAATGTTAAATTTTGAAAACGTTACAATGACTTTTTTGCCGCTGCCAAAGAGACGATTGTTGTAAGAAAATATTATTAAGTAAGAAAAATATTTAAATCCGTTGACCTTGGAGGCCATCCCGGTATTCGTCTGTTTCTCTTGAGATTCTATCAAATTTTATATTTGTAGGAACTGCATTTGAAGAATAGGAATTTTTTGACAATTATCACTCCCGCACTCCTATGTGGGGGAGGAACTTCGTAAGATCCTATTCGAGATGATTTCTACATTATAAATAAAAGATTCCAACAAAACTTCGATTCTATAAAAACTATCGATTAGAAATGAGAAATTTTCATTATTAATACCCTTACAATCTCTTTTGGGGTTAGAATTCGAGAAAATTCATTCTCAGCTAAACTTGACATCGTACACGAAGATTCCTACCAAATTCAGAATCTGCAGCAGTTACAGTTTGGAAATTAAAATTTTAGATTTTAATACCCATCCCCGCAATCCCTATCGGAAGTAGAATTTTTTGGAATCCGTTTTGAGATGATCTCTACATGACAAATAAAATATTCCTATCAAATTTACAGCTTTTAGAAGCTATATTTTGGAAATAAAGATTTTTTTGGCAACACCTACCCTCGCAATCCTTATTGGAGGTGATTCGTTGTAAAATCCGCTCTCAGATTATTTCTACACCACATGTAGAAGATTTTTACCAAATTTGAGATCTATAAGAGCTATATTTTACAAACGGGAAATTTTGATTATCAACGTCTCTGTAATCCCTTAACTGAACTGGACATCATACACGAAGATTCTCGCCGAATTCGGAGTTTGTAGAAGTTACAGTTTTGGAATGAAAATTTTAGATTTTAACACCCACCGCAATTCCTATCGGAAGTGAACTTTATGAAATCCATTTTGAGGTGATCTCTACATAGAAGATAAAAAATTTCTACCAAATTTAGTGTTTTTAGAAGCTATATTTTGGAAATTAAGATTTTTTATTGTTAAAACTTACCCCCACGATCATTATTGGAGTTGATTCGTTGTAAAATCCATTATTAGATCATTTTTATATCACATATAGAAGACCTCTACTAAATTTGGAGTTTATAGGAGCTATAGCTTGGAAATTAAAAATTTTAATTGTTAACACCCACCCCCGCAAACTCCTGTGAGGTATCTTAGAATTCGTTCGTGTATTATTTCTGCATCTCTTAGCGAAAATTCCTACCCAATTGGAGTCTGTAGGAGCTATAGATTAAAAATTAAAAATTTTTATTGTTAATACCCACCCCCGCTATTCTCTGGGGTGAGATATCCTAAAATTCATTTATAAATTATTTTTACATCACTTACAGAAAATTCCTACAAAATTTGGAGTCTGTAGGAGCTATAGTTTAAAAACGGGAATTTTTCATTGTTAATGCCCCCGCACCCCCCCTTGTGGGTGGAATTTCGTAAAATCTGTTCTTAGCTGACCTCTACCCAGTGAAAGGAATACTCCTCCAATTTCGAGTCTCTAGGTCTTATAGTTCAAGAGATATCGTGATGAGTCAATATATAGGTGCAAATCTCTTATATATATAGATTAAAATAAAATATATAATCAACGTGAATATATTAATTATTAGGGCCGAGAATTTGGTTTTTTTAAAAGAGAGAGACAGAAGATAGGCGTAACCAAGTTTTCTGATTGGTCGAGATAAATAAATTGTTTTTTGTTTTTCGCAATCAAGTGAAAACAGCAGCTTGAAATAAAAAAAATAAAAATTGGATTGCTGATCCAACATTTAAATAATATTTTAATATTATGTCAAAAATAAAAAACAGGTTAGTTTACAATATGTGAAGCTGCTTGTGAACGAATAAATACAAGTCTTTACTGCTCAGATAAATGAAGAAGGAAATTTAAAGCACAGTGTTTGAACTGAAATGTTTAATGTTTTTAAGTGAACAGTGACGGTCTCGCTGGAGATCGCGTAAAGGAATTGCTCCCGGTCTCGCTGGCAATTTTGCTGGAAATCGCACTGACAATCTTCCTGGAGGTCTCGCTGGAGTTCTCGTTGACGGTCACGCTGGAGATCTTGCTGGTCCTTTTGCTGGACGTCGTGCTGATAGTATCACTGCCAGTCTCGCTGGTAATTTTGCTGGTTTTCGCGCTGATAGTCTCACCGATGATCACGTTGACAGTCTCGCTGGAGACCGCGCTGACGGTTTCGCTGGATATTACGCTGACGGTTTTTTTTTTTGGAGATCACGCTGACGGTCTCGATGGACATCACGCTGACGGTCTCGCTGGACATCACGTTGATGGTCTTTCTGAACATCAAGCTGACGGTTTCGCTGGACATCACGTTGACGGCCTCGCTGGATATCACGTTGAAAGTCTCGCTGGACATCACGCTGACGGTCTCGCTGGACATCACGTTGATGGTCTTTCTGAGCATCACGCTGACGGTCTCGCTGGACATCACGTTGACGGCCTCGCTGAACATCATGCTGACGGTTTCGTTGGAGATCACGTTGATGGTGTTTCTGAACATCACGCTGACGGTCTCGCTGGACATCACGTTGACGGCCTCGCTGGACATTACGCTGACGGTCTCGCTGGAGATCCCGCTGACGGTCTCGCTGGACATCATGGTGATGGTCTTTCTGAGCATCACCGGTGTTTCTGAACATCACGCTGACGGTCTCGCTGGAGATCACGCTGACAGTCTCGTTAGACATCACGTTGATGCTCTTTCTGAACATCACGCTGACGGTCTCGCTGGACATAACGTTGACGGCCTCGCTGGACATCACGTGAGACCGTCAGCGTGATCTCCAGCGAGACCGTCAACGTGATCTCCAGCAAGACCGTCAACGTGATTTCCAGCGAGACCCTCAGCTTGATCTCCAGCGAAACGACCAGCAAGATATCCAGCGAAACGACCAGCAAGATCGTCAGCGAGATCTCAAGCGAGATCTCAAGTAAAACCATCAGTGCGATCGCCAGTAAAATCACCAGCGAGACCGGTAGCAATACCATTAGAACAACGTCCAGCAAAAGGACCAGCAAGATCTCCAGCGAGATCGTCAACGTGATCTCCAGCAAGACCGTCAACGTGATTTCCAGCGAGACCCTCAGCTTGATCTCCAGCGAAACGACCAGCAAGATATCCAGCGAGATCTCAAGCGAGACCGTCAGCGTGATCTCCAGCGAGACCCTCAGCTTGATCTCCAGCAAAACGACCAGCAAGATATCCAGCGAAACGATCAGCAAGATCTCAAGCGAAACTTTCAAAAAGACCGTCAGCGTGATCTCCAGCAAGACCGACAGCGTGATATTCAGCGAGATCGTCAGCGTGATGTCCAGCGAGACTGTCAACGTGATCTCCAGAGAGACCGTCAGCGCGATCTCCATCGAGACCGTCAGCGTGATCTCCAAAAAAAACACCGTCAGCGTGATATCCAGCGAAACCGTCAGCGCGGTCTCCAGCGAAACTGTCAGCGTGATCATCGGTGAGACTATCAGCGCAAAAACCAGCAAAATTACCAGCGAGACCGGGAGCAATTTCTTTACGGGATCTCCAGCGAGACCGTCACTGTTCACTTTAAAACATTAAACATTTCAGTTCAAACACTGTGCTTTAAATTTTCTTCTTTATTTATCTGAGCAGTAAAGACTTGTATTTATCCGTTCACAAGCAGCTTCACATATTGTAAACTAACCTGTTTTTTATTTTTGACATAATATTAAAATATTATTTAAATGTTGGATCAGCAATCCAATTTTTATTTTTTTTATTTCAAGCTGCTGTTTTCACTTGATTGCGAAAAACAAAAAACAATTTATTTATCTCGACCAATCAGAAAACTTGGTTACGCCTATCTTCTGTCTCTTTCTTTAAAAATAATTAATAATTAATAATTATACACTGATAGAAAAACAATCTTGATTCAAGAAACTTTTTTTCTTCAAAACTTGAACTCTTGAAACTAGATATAGATATAGGTATACAAACTGTAGTATCACCTCTTCTAGCTACTTGTAACCACGTACTTTAGAGTTTAACATTTGAATTGCCGGGCTGCCGGCTCCTGTAGAGGTGGCGGCGCCCTGCGGTCACTTTCGTCATATCGTTGAAAGCAGAAAAAAGAGAATTTTTGAGGATAAAAAGGAGAGGATATTTTGGAAATATCCTGGGGATTGTTACTGAATGGGTGGGAGTGTAATCATTTCGGGCGAGACTGTCGTATAATAACGATCGAACTTCACGTACAGGTAAGTTCGTTTGATCGTATAATTATACTTCCAGTCTCGCCCTCATGATTACATGTATACAAACTGTAGATGTTTAGAGACTGAGAAAATTCCTTTTTTTTTTTTTTTTTTTACTGGTTTAAAAAATAAAACTTTAGTTTTTTACAACTAATATTGAATATCATTAGTTTTTTGAAGATTTTAACAATACAACTTGGGCAAAATTATTATTATTTTGACTGCTAATAGGTCTATTATAGAACTTGGCGAATACTAGAGACTTTTCTGACCATCCGGCTGTTTTTCGTATAAGATCTAGGCTTACTCCTGCTTCCGCCGCTTTAGATGTCGATGCATGTCGTGTACTATGGGCCGTGAATTTTTCATCCACTCCACAGTCTACGAGGAAGTTTTTGATCCATCGGCTTAGCGTTTGGGACGAGACGGCTGTATGCGGCTTGCGAATTGATATAAATAATCGCTTTTCACTACTTCGTAGTGACTTTGTCCTCTTTATATAATTGAGGAGAGTATTTGCTACGCAGAGTTCCGGTTTGTCAGTGAAAACAGGAAGGATTAGCAAAGGTTGTGAGGCTCCAGGTCTTGAGGTTTTAATAATGTCCGGAATCTTAATCTGTACGTTGCTTTTATACTGAACAATATTATCTATTGAGATGAGCGACAGAGTTTGTACTCTGTGAGCAGTTCCCAACGCTAATAAGATTATCAATTTTTTTGTTAATTGTTGTAAAGTCAGCTTTTCCAATGGATATAAATCAGCTGCCTTGGTTATTACCGGTTCTGTGTCCCAAGTCGAGTCATATTTAGGTTTTATGGGTCTCAATTTAAAGATTCCTTTAAAAAATCGAGAGATAATCGGGTTATTAGTAATGTCTTGCGTTGATATTAGAGAAAGAGCTGATCTTGCTGTGTTAAGGGTCCCATATGCTGCACCGTCTCGAAATTTTTCTGATAAAAATTCTAGCACCGAATTTGCTTCAATGCAAAACGGATCACGTCCTTTTTTCTTCGAGAATATCCACCAGTCTTTTAAAGCGCTGTTATATTGTTTTATTGTCGATTCTGCCAGAGATGCAGATAAAATTTCTATTGATGTTTCTGGTAAATTTTTTCTCTTGAACGCTTCCCTGATAACTTGACGGCCGCCAGGGTAAGTGTCGCTGCCATCGGATGGTGCTGCTGGTTGCTAATAGGAGAAATTAAAAGACTGTCATTAGGTTTGAAAATAATCATTTCAGTAATCATAAGATTTTTTAGCAGTGGGAACCACGGCTGGGTCGACCAAAGGGGTATTACGATAACACCACAAGCCCTATCATTGATAATTTTTTGTAAGACCCTAGCTATTAAAGCAAATGGTGGAAAGGCATAAAACCTATGCTCTTTCCAATTAATTGTAAAAGCATCTATGGTCATAGCCTCTGGATCACGTTCCCAAGCGCAATATTTTTTACATTTGGAGTTATTTCGTGAAGCAAATAAGTCAATTGATGGTACTCCGAATCGTTTCGTAATACGTTTAAACGCGTAATCTGCCAAACTCCATTCCGTATCTATGTTTTTAACGCGAGAAAGGCTATCTGCTTCTTTATTCTCTCTTGATGGGATATATGATGCATAGAGCCAGATGTTCCGTTCCTCGCACCAATCCCAAATTTCTTTAGCAAGTAAGTGTAAATGTAAGTACTGGGACCCACCCATTTTATTTATGTATGCTTTGGCTGTAGAATTATCGACCCTGATTAGGATTTCACAATCGCGAAGATCATCTGCGAAACATTTTAATGCCAGAAATGCTGCACGAAGCTCTAAATCATTAATATGTAAGTTCTTTTCTTCCGGCTTCCACCAACCTCGCGCCTGTTGACCATCACAAAATGCGCCCCACCCTGTTAGTGAAGCGTCTGAAAAAATTTCTTTCTGATAATCAGCTGTTCTAATTTTACGAAAAGATACAGGTATTTTTTTTTTCCACCATCTAAGATCATCGTGAATATATTTTGGCAATATCATAGTTTTTTCATAATTATCATTGTTGGCTGTAAGAGCCTTTGTTTTAGCTTTTTCAAGCAACTTACAATGTAACGTACCATACTCTACGGCTGGACAAGCAGCTGTTAACGTTCCAATTACTTGTGCCAAAAATCTTATTTTACATTCTTGTTTTTTCAATAGTGTGTTTATATGGCACAGAATTGTTTCCCGCTTTTTATCAGTAAGTCCTAAGCAAAACTTTTCTGAATCGATAACTAACCCCAAATACTTGCATCGTCTGCTCGGTTTTAAATTACTTTTTTCCTCATTTATAATAAACCCCAAGGAAACTAAAAATTCTTTCGTTGTTATTAAGTTTTTAGAACAAGACTCGATATCCAGTCCCATGCAAAGGAAATCATCCAGGTATACATTTGATAAAAACCCATTCTCACGCAGACAATTGACGACTGGTTTTAGTATTTTTGTAAATACAAATGGAGCAGAACAAAGGCCGAATGGTACACAAGTAAATTCATATATTTTCCCCTGGAAGGTGAATCTAAGATACTTTCTATCCGATTTTTTTATTGCAATTAAAAAATAAGCATCTTTGAGATCTATAGTACCCATGAATACTCCCGGAAAAATAAGTCGACAAACCGTTCTCATGTCTTCCATTTTAAAATGAGATAGACATATAAATTCATTAAGATCCTTAAGGTTTATGATAAACCTATTAGATCCATCGGGCTTAGGGACCAGAAAAAAGGAAGACATGAATTGATCATCAACCGGCTTGACTTCTTCGACTGCTCCTAATTCTAACAGTCTCTGAATTTCTACTTCTATCGCAGAAATCTCAGAACTCGTCCAATTGCGCTCGGGAGGTGGCCTTGATTGATATGGCTTCGATGTGAAGGGTATTTTATACCCCTTAATACATTGCAATATGAAGGGATCTGATGTTATTGTAGCCCACTTACTAAAAAATAATTTTAGCCTGCCTGCAGTTTTTACCTGGGATTCATTATTTAGTATCGACTCCGACTCTTGTTGCTCTGGTTCCGGTGTTGACCCTGATGGCTCTTCGTCTGGCTCTGGAACTTCGAGTTGTACTGTGGCTTGACGAATTTCATTCTTGTGCCCGTCTGAGCTGAGTGTTTTGGCACAGACGGGCTCTTGGCATTTAAATTACTCGTCCCTGGTTTCTTTAAAGGTAATTGGGACTTGATGTCAGTGCTTATTTTATCAATCACTTTAGATTCTTTAATCTTTTCCCCTAATTTTTCGCCAAATAAAAATTTGCCTGTTTCAGTTTTGTCTAGGAGTGAAGCAGTCTGTTTATTCAGACTAGGAAGAATACAGGCTTTCCTAGCCACCGTCTGGCCCCGAAACAGTTCAGTTAAGATTCGTGATGATTCCCATAAGTTTTCCAGCATCTTTTTTACATCAATTTCTTCTCTTTTCTTCGTGAGAATAGGATCGATGACTAAACTTAGTGCTGATAATGCTGACCCAGCAAGGTTCTGGGTATTTGAGAAATATTTATCTCTCTTCAAAGAACCTTCATTGAGGGACGCCGCAATTTCGGGATTCAATTTTGGAGCCTCCAGAGAACATTCACCCTTTCTAGGGTATTTTTTGAGTAAAAGTTCTTTTGCTTCTTTTGTCTGTCCGGTTTTTAACCAGTTTTTCCAGCGATCGGAGATGTGGTTGGATAACTTTAAACCCTCTGGTTCTGTTGAAGGTGTTTCACCAATGATTTTTAAGATCTCTGGATCTAAATCACTAGATTTTTCACTAGCATTCACTGGCTGCGTGTCTTTTTGTTTCTGGGTTACCTCATTTTCCTTGCCAATATCTATAACCGGAATCTGCTTCTCCGTTTGAGGCTGCACAGCGTTGTTTCCAGGCTCTGTAAATAAGGAGGAAAAATCGTTTATATTTCATCTTCGGTTATGTCTCACCTCACGTGTGAGTTCAACCGTAATGTCTTCGACCTTGTCTTATCTCTCGTATAAGCTCAGCCGTGTCAGTTTCCGTACTCATGTTATGTCTCGCATAACCTTGACGGTACATTTTTTTTTTTTTTTTTTTTTAAAACATTTTTGGTACTTGCCTTTATTTATTGTGAGATTTAAAGGGAGAACCTCAGTGACATCGTTTGTTTTTTCTCGATCAGTAGAATTTTTATTCCCCGCCGAGGACTGCTCGCCATTTTTATTCTCCTTGTCAGGCTTTGAGCGTTGTGCACGCGTTTGCCTGTCTAATTTCTTTTCCATCTCTCGCAATCGTTTTTTCAGATGTTCATAATCTTGATCACGATCACGATCGGACGACTTTCTTTTATGTCCATCCATCCTGAAAAGCTTAAAAAACTTGCAAACTAATTAAAAATACAGAAAATTAATAGAAGTTAAAACTCTGACGTGTTTACTTTTTCGCACAAAAAAATGTTATGATGAAAGTGACCGCAGGGCGCCGCCACCTCTACAGGAGCCGGCAATTCAAATCTTAAACTCTAAAGTACGTGGTTACAAGTAGCTAGACGAGGTGATACTACAGTTTGTATACATGTAATCATGAGAGCGAGACTGGAAGTATAATAATTTGTTTTTGATATAACAATTAAAGACTATTTAGTTTTTGAATTATACTTTGATGAATTATTTTAAGTTTTTTAAACGATAATGTTATTTTGATTGAAAAACTTAAATGTATCGATTGAAGATAATATAGCTCTTAAGCCAAGAAAATCTAAATCAAGACAAGAAATTCTTAGAGCAAGATAATCATTTGTCTTCCAAAATAAATTCTTAGATCAAGAAAATATCTCTTGAGTCAACATAAATTTTCTATCAGTGTACTAACTTTCATAAGTTGGAGGCCTTCTTCTTCGTTTAACTAACTAACGAATACTAAACGTATCATAACTAATAAATACTAAACAAAACACAATCGATTAACTGACAGACAGAATCTGTTTTGTTTTGAAACAAAAGATAGCGTAAATAAATATGACATCTTTACATAACCTAGAAATGAATTAACAAAACCGTTGCTATAGAAAACGGTCTAATAATTCATGTCACACCCTTGTGGATGCGTGGGTAGATGCATGGGAGTGCGTGGGTGGATGTGTGGGAGTGCGTGGGTGAATGCGTAAGAGGGTGTGTGGAAACGCGTTTATAAGCATTGAAGTGACGTTAGACATTTTGCCGGTCTTTGTGCGCTCGAATATGAAGAAGAAGTGATGTTCATTTGTTTTAGTAGCAGAAACAAATGACTATCTACATAAATTTGACAAAAAATGGCAAAGGGTTGATGGAATTCAAAAAATTAATAGCCTAAAACCTTCTACAATTAATTCCGCGTCGAATGGTTATGGTCTCATGCTGATCGGTCCAGTAGTTTTCAAGTTTATCGATAACAAAGAAAAAAAAATTTGCTTATGGTATTATATATATATATATATATATATATATATATATATA